ATCGAGATGTAGAATATGACCGAGCTTCTTTTCTAAATTCTTACTTTTCACGAGAACAGGAATGAAAAGTTCAATATCTCAAAAAACTCTTTAAAAATGGCGCTCTAATCATAAAGGTATTCTTTTGTATAATAGTAAAAAAGGATTATTCGAAAAAGGGTGTGGAGAAGGATGTGTGCAGATGTGGATGTGGTTATGACTGCCCTATTCGTTTGAATAAGCGTCGACACTCACACCTAGCCACACCCGCACCCGCACCCGCACCCACACCTCACACACCACACCCAGCCACACGCGCACCCACACCTCACACCCCCACCCCAACCCACTCCCCACAGCCACCCACGCTCACACCCACCCCATCAACACCCACACCCCCACCCCAACCCACTCCCCACAGCCACCCACGCTCACACCCACCCCATCAACACCCACACCCACACCCTTATCTTTTATTAATACTCGGCAAAGATCTTCGAAGTATTTCTAGTTCAATTCTCGTGCTGTTATCCGATACTTTATTTTGAAAAAAATTTTTTATTTCTTCCTTTTGATCCTTAGGATGTTAAAGGTTCTTTTTTTTAAAGACAAAGTGCATGTAGTAAAAATGTGGTAGTTGTTTGTTATCGCCCCGCAAAAGTTTTAAAATTTTTTTTTAAAGTTTTTTTGCTGAGATAAAACGAGATCATAACAAATAAAACAGAACAACATTAGTACTAGTCTTCTGGTCACCAAAATGCGGCTATATCATCTAGAATCGCATCAAACAGGTCACGTCCATTCAGCCTTGAACGCCACATATGTTCACATCGATATGAATCAACAAAAGCTAGATTGGTCCCTTGTCTTTTCCTGTTTTCATTCTTCGGACCTCGCCAAGCTCTTATGATAGTTTGCGTGTGGGCTCCACTTTGTGGATCTACGAAATTGCACTTGTGATTGATGGTAAGGTGAATAAAGCCAATGGCAGCCAATCAGTAGTAACTAGGGATGTGCAGTATCAGTATACTGACCACCGATAAAATCACACTGGCGTTCACCGGTACGGTGACGACACTGACACTGAGCACACTGTCTGCGGTGACGCACTGTCACTTAGCGAACTGTCTGCAGTGACGCACTGACACTGAGCGAACTGTCTACAGTGACTCACTGACGCTGAGCGAACTGTCTACAGTGACTCACTGACACTGAGCGAACTGTCTGCAGTGACACACTGACACTGAGCGGACTGGAGCAGTGACCACACTGGCACTGCGTATCACTGGAGCGTTGAAAACACTGGAGCACCGACGTTTACTGATGTAGATAAGTCTGGTATATCAGTAAACGTCGGTGCTCCAGTGTCTTCAACGCTCCAGTAGTACGCAGTGTCAGTGTGTCACTGTCAGTAATTCACTGTTTTCACCGAAACTGCACATCCCTAGTAGTAACTGCGCCATTTGTTTGTTATGATTGTTGTTCCGGGTTTGATTCGACTGGTGATGATTGGAAGAAGTGTGGCTACACTTCTATCTGAAACGATTTCCATAAAATACTCACGAGTTTCTCGACAAATTCCACCTAAGACCTATTGCTGCGGCAATACACGTCCAGCATGATTCTTTCTTCGACTGAAGAGACTTTCGTCGATCTTCACAGTGGTATTGGGTCCATCAATTATCATTTGTGTCTGTCGAAGCTTCCCAGTACACACTTCCTTTAAGTAGTTGTTTCAATCCACAACAGCGTTTTGACCGATTTCAAGTTCATCTTTTAAAAATTCCACTGATGTCCTCTTTCGAGACTAAGAATAAATGAATAAAATGACTTTTCGAAGAGAAAACTTCGAACCAACTAACCAATTATTTGTACGTAAACTTTTATCTTGACGACTTCCACTTAAGTAGCATCGCCATCGATATTTAGCACTCAAGGACAATTTCATCTTGTGGTCATTCTTGCAAAATATTTGAGCTTGTATTATTCCATGTTGTTGTAGTTATTTGACACTTGAAGCCTCATCAGGAATTTGTTCAGATAAACGTAGGAAATTCATGATGAAAATGTGTACAGAATGTGATGATATGCCACGTACTATCTATTAGTCAAGACAAAGCTTATCTTCACGCATACATTTTTATTGATTAATAGACGGGTATATATACGTGAGAGCAAAGAACCTATTAGGGAGATCTACATGAACAATATATATCAGATAGAGATAGAAAGGAAAGAAAGGATGTACTTGAATATGCTAGAACCATACATAAATGCATTCATGCATGGCAATAGAACGAAAGAAGATATAGATGAAATCACATACATGCTGGCATCACAACAATAATAGAAAGAAAGGAAACATGTACTAGTCATAATACGGGCATGATAGGAATGATAATAAGATGAAAAGATAAAAAATTAAAGGATACGATAATATTAAAAAATTAAAAAAAAAATTGCGGAACGATAACAAACAAATGTCTAAAATATTGCAAAAGATTGCAATAGAATCATACACGTGTAGATTTCATGTTTGAATATGCATTTTTTTCAACAACAATGTGGTACAAACACCGACAATACAAATAGGTACTATGATACTAAAATAAAGTCCCTTTCCAATGCAGGTACAGCGATGTTGTAATGATGATGGTACATCATGAGACGAATCATTCTGATCGATTTCGACTATTGTTGATTGATGCTCACTAGTTGCACCGGTTTCATGCGATATATTCATCTTAATATATTGTTCATGTGTATCACGCATACCGTTTTCCATATTAAAACCCATTCTCTGTGAATAATTCTAGATGATTATATGCAATTAACTAATAGAGCGCACATACTTTTTTCGTCGTTGTTATGTGTGTTTGAAGAAAAGAGGTTGGTAACCTGCTAACAGAAACAAATTTGCTCGTGAGTTGTTTCAGCGAATGATGGAATTGCATAATAAAATGCACCATTTTAATGGAGTTATATAACAAAACGAACGCACTGCCCACGTTTACACATCGTAGGAAGTAAGAAAGGTATGAATAATTTTGATCACCAAAAAGGTACATTTGATCAGCAAAATGTGTTTGTTGCGAAATAATCACCAAAAAAAGAAACATTTGATCAGCAAAATGTGTTTGTTGCGAAATAATCACCAAAAAAAGAAACATTTGATCACCAAATTTATTAATATAATAACATGAGAAAAAAGAATTACACAAAAAAGAATAAATAGTAGAAACAGACAATTTTAATAAACAATCCATACTATGGTGCTTTTGATTTCAATCTGAATTTAGAAGAAAAAAAACGACACTCGATTTCAAATTGAAATGCGGGACATGCGGGTCTTCAGAATTATATTCATGATATCTGTAGTATATACCCCCTTTTTTTTATAGGGTGCGGGTCTTGCGGGTCTTTAGAATTATATTTATGATATCTATGGTATATATCCCCCTTTTTTTATAGGGTGCGGGTCTTGCGGGTCTTGCGGGTCTTTAGAATTATATTCATGATATCTATAGTATATACCCCCTTTTTTTATAGGGTGCGGGTCTTGCGGGTCTTTACAATTATGCTGGTAATATGTATACTAGATCCGTTTATTTGGTCAAGAAAAGTGAGCTTCCCGAATAAACTGCAAATTTGGAGCTCACTTTTCTTCTCAATGCTTCTGTTATGATTGATAGTACCACCGATAGTTCTAGTAGCATTACCTTCTCTTCGTGAAGCATTTCCTGCGATGGCAATAACATTCCCTATGATGCTTATATCATTCTCTTGGATGCTAGGCGCCTCACCTGTGATGCAAGAGGCATTGCCTGTGATTCAACAGGGATTGCCTGTGATTCAACAGGGATTGC